AATAATTCTGCACTCCCTGTACTCTCGAAAGGATTTTACATAACAACAGACTTTGGCACACAAGGAACAAAACAGAGCTTGGAGAGGTGGCAGCTTTTATACACAACTGGAAACCTCAGGACAGTCTCATAGGCATCGCTACTGTTCTTCTGTGGAAAAACTCCACAATAGCCTTTACCTTGTCCACGGTTGTTTTCCCTACCTTCAGGGAATCTTTAAATCATCAGGTTTAATGTATGTGCCAGACATGGGTGGTGAGTCCGCTTCAGAATTTTTTATGGCTTTGGTGATGTTTGCAGCATTATCACTCACACAGTACACCACTTTGTCCTGTCTTGCCACTCATTTGCCACTCTTAATAGCTCCTGTACCAGGTTTTCTGCAGTGTTTCTGTCAGTGAAGTCAAAGCAGTCCAGCTGGAAAGATGTCATCTTGTAAATTTCAATAAAGTGGCAAGTGACAGGCATGAAAGAGCAGGTGGTTCTAGAGGTCCAGCAGTCAGTTGTCAGGCAAACTGATGGAAGTTTTTTCACCCTGTCTTGCTATAATGCACGTTCTGTGTCATATAGTTTTGGGATTATTGTTAGGGACGGTGTTTTTCTACTAGGTAGAGTTTACATGGGATTTAAGCCTTTAAAAGTTCTAAAATGGACAATGCTATGAAAATAGATCTAATGATTTCATCCTGTCATGGGTTGAGTCCGATAAGTATGATGATCTAAAGGCAGATACACAAAGGCTGACTGGAATGAACTAAAAGCAAGTCATTTATTTGGCTGATTGCACAAATATATACATGAAAAAATGAAAACTATTAACTACTAAAACCAAAACTTGAACCCACATTCAGCATAAGGTGCCCTGGAGAAGATACGCAGGCATTCTGACATAAGATATGGGGGACAGTGAAAATGTATACACAGACGGCTAATTAGGGGAAGTGAAACGAGCTGGAGAGAACAAGACACAGGCGGACTAAATCACAAGAGATGAGACAAACAAAGCAAAGCACAAGGACAACGACTCTCAAAGCAAAACAGGGAGTTACATAACTAAATGAGGAAGACAAATGAAACATGAATGAAGAGGAAAGGACACCCTCAGGGAGGAATTAACACTAATGAGCCATGTGGACTTATTAAAGGACCCAAAACGCAGGCAAAGAACAGCTGATATGAGTGAATGTTTATTTTCAAAGTGGCAAAATGACACCAACAGGGAGATTAACGCAGACGAACCGGCAACATGCAGAAGAACACACAGCAGTAATCAAGGGATGGGAGACACGCCTGGGAGAAATCACAGCTGACGAGACAGGGGAAACGTAAACTGAACACACTCACATGAGATAGAGACCTTCAGAATAAAACAGGAAACTAGCAGACACAGAGAACCAGACAAGACACTGAACTTAGACAGATTCGCGAGCAGACACAGTGACACCATGGACAGACAGAGGGCACACAGGCAGGCATGAAACAAAACCCTAAGACATAGCAAACCTAAACAAAAGACAGAATAAACAAGAACAAGAAATATAAAGAAACACAAAACACTAAGTCGTCAGACTCAGGACCATGACAAAAATAGCTGAGAACTGAAAAAAAACCCAGCACTGGTGACAGTGTTGAGATGTGAGGAGACAGGAGCTTCATCTTAATATTATTTCTTTGGAACCAAAGATTTTATTTTATTTTACATGTTTAGCCCTGTTTAATATATCAAAGATATATCAGAGATTTTATTCAAGAAGTGCTTATGGAGGAAATATACAAATATATGTGATTTAATGCAAATAGAGTGATCAGATAAACATCAGAGCTGGATGACTATACCTGCTACAGCATTAGGTTATCACCTCTCTTCTGATTGACATCAACTATTTTATGCAACAAATGTATATGAATTTTTTACATCTGCACAAAGCCTCGCTGGTTTCAAAGATGTACATAGCACACAGTGTCTCTGGATAAATTAATCTTTCTGTTGACAAAACAGAAGGATTCAGAAGAAAAAAAATACATGTAAACTGTATTTGTCTTTAATATAGGAGAATGCAATCTGAAAATAAACGTTAAAACAATCTAAAGCTAAATTGAAAAAAAGAAAACTTTCTACAAACCTTCACCCTGCATTTAGAGAAAACCGAAATGATGCTACAACTTCAGTTGAAGAAGTTGCTGTTGTTTAGAAGGAGGGGAGATACATGGTGTGAGTTTGATGTAAAAAAGACTTTACATTTTGTATTTACAAAAACATCAGAAGTATACAACAGAAGGCTGAAACTGTTTCCCACAGTTTATCTCACAGTTTAACAGCAAACAAAAGCTCACTGATCTAAAGGGCAAATAAAGTAGAAAGCAAAACGTCTTACAAACATCTCATTAGCCCTGTGAAGCATCACATCATCATGCGGTAGCAATAAAATTAATACAAAATTTGTTTTGAAATGTGTTGCTAAACTTAAGAAAAAGAAAAAAGCTTAAGTTTAATGTGTCCACTTCATTCCCACCTCACGTCAGTCTCCTGTACTACTTTAGGGATGACAATTCTCTCTTTAAATCATTTTTAAACTGGTTCAACAAGTAAATAATATTTACGAGGTACGTGGATTTCAGTTCATTTTGTTTCTTCCATGCAGGACTCTCAGCTAGTTGGACTTCACTCCAGATTTTCCTGCACCTTCTTGTCTGTCTGTGCTTGCTGCAAAGGCCTTTAAGGCTGAAAGGTTCTCATAAACAGAATGAGAATCTAACTGATGGAGAGAGATTAAAATAATAATAAGACTAAAAGAGCTTCTTTAAACATGTATTGCATTGTGGTAAAATTATTACTGGCTCTAATTCATATTGCAAAAACTGTCTGTTGTGTAGCACTTCTTACCTGGATCATATCAGCAGGTCCACCTGCTCCAGTATGTAAGTTTGCCCGTTTCTTCTTCCTGGATAAATTCCAATAACAAATCAATTTTATTGAAACTGAATCAGCGGCTTTAAAGATAAAGTTGGGGGGAAAAGAAAAGTAATGGAACTGATGATTTTATATATACATATATATTACCTTATCTGTATACTCAACAAAAACAAAGGAATCAGCATCAGAACCACCAGACTCAACCTGATGATATTCGCGATTATTACTGATTTCACTAAAAAGAAGACAAACAAACAGGATGCAAGTCTGAGTTGCACATCTAGTTTCACAGATCATTCAACTGTGAGGAGCATCAAACTGACCTGCCACAACATCCAGCTGTAAGATGGAGTTCTGATGTCCTCTTGAGTTCTGGGCAACACAGTAATAACTCCCACTGTGTTCAGGTTGGATGTCAGTGATTGTGAAGTTCTGTCCTGATGCCTTTGGTGACTCATCATCCTCCTTGTACCAGATGTAATTAGCTGCTGGGTTAGCATCACTGCTACAGGTCAGAGTGACTGAACTGCCCTCCACTATCTCAGCAGAGGGACTCACTGACACAAAGGGAAGTCTCGGAGGATCTAGTAAACAGTAAATTAAAAACTATGTAAATTTATATTCAAATTCTGTTAAGATTCTTAAAAAGTATTTTGAACGTTTAGACTGACAAAAAACACTCACATTGTACATCCACTGATAGAGAGGTAGAGTTGGCCTCTCCATGCACATTCTCAGACTTGCAGGAATAATCCCCACTGTCCTCCAATCTGATGGAGATAAAGTGATAAACACCCTGTTGTCCTACTGACAGTACTTTGTTGTCTTTGTACCAGGTGTAATTAGCTGCTGGGTTAGCATCACTGCTGCAGATCAGATTTACAGGGCTGCCTTCCACTATCTCATCAGAGGGACTCACTGATAGAGACAGAAACTTTGGAGCATCTGAAAGAGAAGGTAAAGACACAGAGAGTTTGCCTGTCCATTGATGACTTAAGCATGTTCATGTAGTGTGATCGTTAGATTAGGTAATTGGATTTACATAATCCTTTGGTTGCCAATCAGGTCTCTCTCGTGACATGTAAGAGTCTAATTTCTGTCCTTCAACCACTCAAATCAATACAAAGGATGTAAATATAGGAAAGTCTTCTACTTATCATTCTGAAAGTCAAATGAAACCAAACCCAACCAAAAGAAACCTACAGATTCAACCAGAATCACAAAAAATATGTTCAAAGCAGAAACAAATCTGTGCTGTTGTGGAGGGTTTTGTGGCATTCAGACAATTACAGTACCACCCATCTATCCATCCATCCATCCATCTATCCATCCTCTTATCTTTGTAAGGGTCACGGAGGGGCTGGAGCCTATGCCAGCTGCCATAGGGCAGGAGGCAGGTGTTGCAGGGACAGACAGATAGCCATTCACACTCACAATCGCACCTATGGACAATTTAGAATGACCAATTAACCCAACCCCACTAACTGCATGTCTTACTGATGGTTTACATCTCAGGGATGTATATCCAGAAGCCATTTGGAATCCAGAGTGCTTTACTGAAGCTGCACAGTGAACAACTAGCCATGTTTTTACTTACATTTTACATCAAGAAGTTTGTTCCTAGACGTCTTCATCCCCAGCTTGTTTCTGGCTTTACAGTAATACACTCCAGAGTCAGAGGACTGAATGGAGCTGAACCCAAGCTGGAAGCTCTCACTGAGAGGTTTGCGATCATTGTTCTTGTACCAGGTGTAACTAGCTGCTGGGTTAGCATCACTGCTACAGGTCAGAGTCACTGAACTGCCCTCCACTATCTCAGCAGAGGGACTCACTGACACAGAGGGAAGCTTTGGAGCATCTGGAGGAGGAAACATGAACATATTTAATGTTTAATTACACATTATGATTGAGTTTTCATAGTAGAAGATAAATCTACATGCCCCGCCCAATAACACTACAGCTCACATTAAACAAACACTCATGGGTCATTCTTTAATGCTTTCTTTAGACCAAAGATGGTCTGAATCTCCTGATTTATGAGCCCCAGAGTTAGGTTTGAAAATGGGTCTGACGATTTTATCCAGCAGTGAATATATCATTCGCTAACACGTGGAGATCAGGCACAGTACTATGAAAAAGTATTTGCCCCCTTACAGATTTCTTTTTAAAAATGTTACTAATTTATCACACCTCTAGAACTTTTGAATAAAGATATCACTTGAATCGATAGCTGGATAGCTTTTAAACCCTAACCTAAACCAGGGGTGGGCAACTCCAGGCCTCGAGGACCAGTGTCCTGCATGTTTTAATTGTAGTCTTGATCTAACACAGCTGATTCAGATGGTTAAAGGGTTAAATGAAATGAAATCAGTTAAAACACTATTTAAAAGCTGCATTTTGCATTCGTCTAATGGTAAAATGTGTTTGATGACCACAAACAAACAAGTGGCAAAAATGCAAAAAACTAAGAAATCAAGGAGGCAGATATTTTACATAAATATTACAAGCAGCAAATCCAAACTCTGTCACATGTGCTCAGTGTGAATTCTCGTCAGGTCTCATCACCAGTGGTGGACCTGCCAGTTCTGGTGTTATCTTATTAAAGCCAGTGCATCTGCACAGTGCTAGGCTGTGATTACAAGTCTGACTAAAGGATTTCCTACTCCACCCTGATGCAGTCTGTTTCTGACAGTTTGTCCGTTAACATCAACATGCACATGAGTATTTCACTCAGGTTCATTTTATAGCTCTCTGGCAATGTTGCTCCTCTTCCTCCAGACACTCTTTGATGCTCTTTTATCACCTTCATCTCATGCATCCAGCAGATACGAGAACACTAACATGAAGGATTCACAGAGGTTGCTTTTTCCTAAATGTACCAAAGTCCCTGCAGTTTGACTTTGTGTTAATTGAGCAGTACATGTCTGGAAGCCAATAGAATAAAGTGAATAAAATAATAATCTACTGAAGCTACTGAATGAACTACAGTATCAGAATATCAATATATGAAGAAATGTATTTTTTAAAATATTAATGGTCTTTTACACACAATTCACAATGATGATGTTGTGTCCAGTCCTTTTTGTCCCCAGGTCGTTTACAGCTGTGCAGTAATACTCTCCAGCATCAGAAGACTGAATGGAGCTGAAGATGAGCTGGGAGTCTTTACTGAGAGGTTTCTGATCATCCTCCTTGTACCAGGTGTAATTAGCTGCTGGGTTAGCATCACTGCTACAGGTCAGAGTCACAGAGCTGCCCTCCACTATCTCACCCGAGAGAGTCACTGACACAGAGTGGCGTATTGGAGCATCTGGAGGAAGAAAAAAACCCATAAACATGTGTAATGCAACAGTTACAGATACATAGAAACATCAATGTTATTTTTTTTTTACCTGTAACAAGCAAAGTGACTCCAGGAGAGCCAGTATAACGTCCACTACGATAGTTTGTCTCAAACCTGAACTTGTATTGAGCTGAGTCGCTCTCTCTCAGGTCAGTGATTCTCAGAGTGCTGTTGTTCCGAAAAAAATAATACTCCACTCGAGTGTCATAGTTTGGATCAGTTTTTAGATCCACAGGTACATCTTGTTGCAATTTAGTAAACCATAATCTTTTCTGAACTTCAATAGTTTCATTATTTATTCTGGGTGGGTATGTGTAGGCGCAGTGTATCTCCACTGATGATCCTTTTACAGCACAGATCTGAGTAGAAGTGTAAGTCACTCCCCAGCCATTCTGACTCTGTACCACTGTAACACAGAGCACATCAGAAAACACAATAACACATGTGCTATTGTATCTGGAGTAAATGAATTTGTTTTAGTGCAATGACAGCAGAATTCCAAAATGGTTTTGCATCGGTTGATCAACATTTTGTGTTATTATATTATATCACTGACTCACTTGTCATTTCAACCACCTGTTTGTTTTCAGAGCAAAAAGATCAAATGGTCTTATCTGTAGACATACAGTACCTGACACAGAAAGCAGCACGATAAAAACTCCTCTGAGTGCTGCAGTTAAACTCATAGCCGCTCCTGTCATCTGTCTGTGTGACTTCAGAGAAGAAAAGAAATGTTAGCAGGTAAATAATGTATCCAGGAATTAGACACATCAAAAAACAATTCTCACTCTGTCTCTTAAGATGCCTTTCTGATGTGGTCTGCAGGCAGAAAACTGAGTTCAGGTTAGTAAAAGCGCCCTTCCTTCCTTTTCACACCTCTAATACACACAGTGATGCAAATGTGTCAGTTTTTCATTGTCACAATTCAATCCTAATTTATAATATGTGTGAGAACATAATAAAAGTTCATGTGTCTGGTTTGTTAGGAGTAAACTAATAATAAAACAGCTTTTTTAAAAATTATTATTTATTTTGTGTTTTCTGTTTTTTGCACTCAGATACCTTTGTGGGTTTCTGCTCTCTAAGTCACTAATAAAAGCCACAACACGCAGCAACTAGAACCCACCATCACATCCGGTTTAGTTGAGTTATTTTTTTACTTTGAACAACCAACACTGCAGAAATGCATGTGACCAAAACAATTCAGTAAAACCATACAGCCTGTGTGTGGGCTTCCTCTTCTGTCTTTGTTTTAAGCCAATTTATGTCTTTAAAAGACTTTTTACAGTAGCTCTCTTTAGAAGGCTTCCCTGAGAGGTCTGAGAGGGTCATGCTGTTCTGTAATGCATGAGGGTTAAAACTACTCATAAGCATAAGCTGTATAAATGGGTCTTGTAGCTATATGCCACAGTGGCTGATGAAGAGGTGATCATTGTGATCAACATATCACAAAAAGGTTAATTTGAGAAAATCTAAATTAGCTGTATGTAAGCGGCAATACATGAAAAACCACAGGACCCATCATACAAGCTGGTTTAGAGGTGATTCTTACAAAAAACATGTCTATGCAAACTCCCAAACCCTAACAACACAACTGCTTTAAGAATTTAACTTTTATCCCACCAGATTTTAATACTTACAGTTAAAATTGTACTCCTCTCTCACTTTATCTCTCACTTCGACCGCCATTGTTACAAGAACAAAATTCTCCAGTGTGGATCGCAATGAATCCTGGGATAGGGTGGGCCATAAAGGATACACCCAAACCATCCTTCACATCCAGGGAAATGGTGGATGCGTTTGTGGGCCGCATTTGGATCAGCCTTCGAATTTGGACAGCCTTCATCACCTGACTGTGATTTAATCAGCCTACAAATGCAGTTTCAGCAGCGTATCAAGATCCTGCGTGATGAACCAAAGATTTTGAATTTTCATTCATTAGTCCATAATACCTTCTTCCAGTCTTCAGTAGTCCAATGTGTTATCCCAGGCAAGCCTCTTAGGTAGAGCAGGTCATTTGACAATGAGAAGGTTGTTTTTGGTTGACTGGCTTCTCCAGTCTGCATGCCAAAGTATCCTTGGGCATGATACTGAACGTCAGGTTACTCCCTGATGTCTTTACAGCGGGGTGGCTGTAGCTCAGGTGGCAGAGCAGGTCAGCCAGTAATCAAAAGGTCGGTGGTTCAATCCCAGGCTGCCTCCTGGCGGCATGCCAGGGCAAGATACTAACTCCGTGTTAGCCTACTGGTAGTGGTCAGAGGGCCCGGTGGCGCCAGTGTCCGGCAGCCTCGCCTCTGTCAGGGTGGCTGTGGCTACAATGTAGCTTACCATCGTGAATGGGTGGGGGACTGAATATGTGAAGCGCTTTGGGGTCCTTTTACTATACAAATGCAGGCCATTTATCAGAGCATGAATGTGATTGTTTGATAGAAAACTTGTTTTTATTATTATTTAGTTTTCTTTATAGAACATTGTAGTGGCTTAGGGAGGGGGGCCACTAACCCAAAGTCTCATGGGACGTTCATGCAGACATTCATGAGTAGAGTCACAGTGTTAATAAGAGCTATTTCAGTTATCCTGTGTGCATTTATCATTGCTATTGTTAATTTGTCATGTGAATTGCAGCTATTTGTTTAGTACTGAGTAATGGCCATCATGACTGAGACTGCTGTGCCATTTAATGATCTGTGGTCACTGTTGCTGATTGGGGGTGTTATGCTAATAGAGCTGCATTCCTGTAGTTGAGCAGTTAATGAAACAGCAGGACTGTAAATAAAGATTGAGATATCTGTTTACTCACCACAATAACTTCATTATTTTTATTTGTATGATGATCACCTGTAGCAGCAGGCACTTCAGTTCACAATGCAACAGATCACTAGTATGATAATGGTACTATAAACTGTGTGCGTGGTTTTCAAATGTGGATCAAAGAGCAAAGAGCTGCATCAACAAGGCAGCTTAAAAGAAGCTGAAACTGTTGTGTTGGTGATAAACATCAGATATTTATCACCAACTCAATAGTACAGATTAAATCAGGAAGTTCATTTTTTCTTGTATTGGCTTGTTGTGCGCATAAAAGCTGTGAAGAGGAAGTAAGCTGACATATTTCAGAAGTGTGATTTCTGTCTTTTGCCTGCACACCAGAGCGTAAACGACTCTTTAGAGATGATGATCTTCCCTTCACCTTTGAAATGGTAAATGGCCTGTATTTGTATAGCGCTTTACTTAGACCCTAAGGACCCCAAAGCACTTTACACATTCAGTAATCAATCTATTCACACACAGGTGATGGCAAGCTACATTGGAGCCACCCTGGGGCGCACTGACATAGGTGAGGCTGCAGGACACTGGCGCCACGACCACCACCAGTAGGCAACGGGTGAAGTGTCTTGCCCAAGGATACAACTACCGAGACTGTCCGAGGCAGAGCTCGAACTGGCAACTTTCCGATTACAATACGAACTCCCAAATCTTGAGCCACGATCGCCCAAAGTAGAATTGTTTATCAGTGTGTACATGTGGTTACATTATTTCTTTTCTGCCATGTTTTACTGGTTCTGAAGTCACATAGACAGATGACCGGAGCATTATGAGTTTAACTGGGTGCAGTGGGAGGATTTGTTTTGGTCCTTCTCTCTGTATCGAGTGCTGTATGTCTGCATTTAGCTTCAGAAATGAAGGAAATGTGGACAGTTTAATTAATTTTATGAACATGCACCAGAGGTGACATTTTTCTGTTGCTGTAAATAGTTTGTCACGCCTTAAGTCTATTATTGGTTTCCTGTGGTTTTCACACTGACAGAAACTCAACATGAACCTGACTGCAGTGTGATCAGAGTGGAAACTAACAAATACATTAACAGTCTGTTCCTGTTCTACTTATTAAACTGCATCACAGGATAATTATTGTTATCTACAAGCACCAGGTTCCGTGTGGACATATTTCTGTTTGATAGCACACACCGATAACTCAGACTTACCAAACACATCAGTACAGTGAGAGTTATTATTGTGAAGCCAAGAACAGCAGAAGATGTCATTACTGCACCCTACATCTGTTTGCTTTAGCAGGTGAGCTTTAAACTCTCAGGATCTGATCAAATCATTATAAATATTCACACACTTTTTGTAACTGTGTTAAGAAAAGAAACTCCATTGTATCGTATGTTGATAGAATAGAAGAGAATAGAAATAGAATGTCACGTACAAGTACAAGGCAAAGAATTGCAGTTTGCATCCAGCCAGAAGGTGCTTTAGCCATGATATAGATATATTACAGAAATTATAGGTATGAAGGTACAAAATATGGGTCTATTATGGGTATGTTACAATGTACACAGTATGAAGTATGTTATGAATATGCTATGACTATAAGTATGTACAGGCTGTAGTGAGTGTACAAGCTATATACAGGCTATGAACAGCATATAAATATGAAAACTATACAGAAATATGAACTATGCAAGTCATAAACTGTTCTAAAAAGTTGTAGAAGTATAATTATCGTATTGTACAGAATGATTGTTGATACAGCATTTACAGTAGTGCAGTTGATGGCACCAAACACATAAATGATCACTCTATAAATTAATCTCTTAACCTAATATTTCTGCTTAGACGTATCTCCTGTTTGTTTCCTGTATGGAAACCTGTACTAATGATCAATATCATCAGACTGACTCTGGTGGTCCTGAAGCTGATTCTTCTAGAACCCTACACCTCTTCTTGCAGTCTGAGATCTTCTAGGCAAAGGCTGTTAATGGTCCCACAAACTCATTTTTCTGATTTCTGTTTTCACACCGCGTTCCAAATTATTATGCAGATTATATTTTTCTCTGATTTCCCTAAATATTTGATGCAAATGACAGTCAGCATAATATTTGAGTATAATTCAAATCTCCAAAAGTTGATTCTGTTCATCTGAACGTAGCGTTTTGTGGGAGAAACATTTCGTCACTCATCCGAGTGACTTCTTCAGTCTCAGCTGACTGCAGGTTTCCCCAAATCTTATAAACAGTTGTTGCGTTCTTAGTCTAGGCGAGTATTGAATGCAACAAGAAGTTGGCCCACTCCCACTCCACCAAAGCAAGAACACAAACAACAATGACTTTTTAAAGTGCTAAGCAGCCATTTATTTTCTTCAGCAGTGAGCAGTGCCAAAAATAACAAACAAAACTCCCTAATGGTCCCTATGCTTTCTTATACAAATGAAAAGCAAACAAAAGACAATTCACTTACCTAACTTTCTAAATGAAAAACGAGAAAACTCAATCAACAAAAATGGCTTCTCATGCCTACTAGGCTGCTGCAGTGAAGAATATATACAAGGTGAACAAAATACACGACTGCTACTTGACAAAACTATTTACAGCTATTTACAAAATGGAGGTACTAACGCCACACACACAAGGTTATACTTGCAAATTAATTTGGCAAAGACACTCTACACAGCAACGAATCAAAAACACAGGTTCTTTGTTGGATGGTGGAGGTTAGGAGAGAGGGGGCCAGGTGGCCGTCATCCGGTAGTTAAGTACTGGAGGTGATTAGCCAATTATCAAATCCAAGGACAGGAAGAAACTCCACCCAACTACTCAGCAGGCACGCCCAGGTGTCCACCTCCTAAGAGAGTGGGGAAAAAACCCACAGCCATCCTCTGGTGGGAGGAGTCATACATAAAACAAACACTGCCAACATTAGATCATAACATTTCCCCCCACCCAAAAATCAAACATTTAACCCCAAATGAAATGTTTGATTCATGACAAATAAAAGTGATTTGATTTGATTTGATTTGACCTA